TGCCTTCAGGGCTGTCCTCTGCTGATGACATAGCAAAAATCAGTCAGAGCAGAAGACTTAGTCTTTTTTGGTGCTATGAGAGTTGGTACCAGTGGTATCCCTTTGACGAGCTTTTTCTCAAGACAAATTGCTCCTTTGTCAGTTTCTGAAACGCATTTAATCTTGGGAGCAATATTTGCAAATTAGCAAAGACAGAGAAAAGTGATTTTTGTTGTGAGTGGCTTGCATTACATGCATTTCACTGACAAGTGAAATCTTTTTCTTATGTTAGAACAAACTGGGACAGTGATTTTCTTCAGACTTAAGTTTTAAGTTTCTAGACCAAACATGACTTGACTTTGCGACAGGTACTCATAGAGCAAGACTGAAGAATTCACTGGAATCCATCCCACACCTGTTTACTCTTCAATTCTACAAGTTAACTATATGGTAAAATACATGCAGTGAGGATTTGAATTTTCTGAACTGGAACTTAGCATCTTTTAATCAATTGTGTGCAACGACTGACATCCTGCAGCAAAGTGATGCCAGGTCCTCCAGTGTGCCAAGGAGATAATCCTGTTTACTCCAACTGGCTGTAGGACCTACTAAGACATGTTCATGTGAGCCTGGAAATTCTTTCAGTGTTATTAACGCAAAACCTAAACTTTCAAAACAAATGAGTGAAAGATAGAAACACCTTCCCTCTGTGGATCATGCCTTCTGAAGACAAGCAGAGCGAAATGCCCTTAGAAGTGCTTTTCTTTCTCCTTTGCTACAGAGCCTCAAATGATCAAACAAAGGCCGTCTAGCTAACCTCTGCCTGCTAACTGTGCTGCTGTGAAATCCGAATCACAGCAATCATTTGAATTCTTTCACAATTAATCACTCCCTGATAGGATTGGAACTAGTTTATTATTATTTTTATATTTCAGCAGCAGACGATTGTTTGCAAGTAATCTTTGTCAGCACGGTGTTTGTGTTTTTTCATAAGCATCACCAGAATTTCAGATAATGAAATAATAACTCAGTAAGATTTGTTGTACTTCATCTCCTTCAGAAGCAGCTCACGCAGTGCAATAGCTTCATTAAAAAGTGCCAAATGGAGTAATTACATTAATTATTTCTGTAAACTACTGTTTAAAGATATATTAAAGGTTATTTAGGCCAGACAAATAAAACATAGAAGTTGGGTAAACTATTATTTAAAGACATATTAAAAGTTATTTAGGCCAGGCTAATAAAACATAAAGTTGGCCTTTGTTGAAACTTTGGTTTTATTAATTAATAGCAGGTTTTTAAAGCACTAAAATTAAAACAATCGTGTTGAACCAGAAAATGGATTTTCTTTCTCAGCCTTTCCCTCCAATTACAATTTGCACGTATTCATTGAGAGTCATTTGTCCTGTTAGGCAACTAATCATCAAAAGTGATTCTTCAACATTGTTATTAAAAAAAAAAAGAATAATTAAAAATGTCAGTCAGTAATCACACAGTACTTTTGACATGTGGTTTCAAACAGTCACCACTGACCAGGTTTCTGCATCAATTCATTCATATCAGAGTTGTTCTTTAGGGAGCCTGTGGGATAAAGTTGATTAAAATTTATTCAAAATAAAATCAGAATCCATTTAAACCTCCAGCTGTCATTTGTTCTCCTTCATTACTGGAAAAACAAATTCAAAGATGCATGCTGTCATGTGTGGCACCCTGCCTGGCACAGGATGACTTGGCTGCCAACTGAAGTTTTAACTTTTAACTTTTTCATTCTGGCAGTCGGGAGCAAGCAACACTCTAGGAAGACAGGTTCCAGTGGAAGGAGCAGGAGATACAGAACCAGTGGTGACAAAGCTTTGCGGAGCAAAGGCATATGAAAATACCTGCACAAGCTGGAACTGGAGTCAGGAAAATGGGGTACTGAGAGGGGAATCATGAGAGCCCTGCAAAGCCAAAAGCAGCAAGAAAGGGATGAATAAGGTTGACTTGTTCATAGACAGTATGGGAATGATGAAGCACCAAGCGAACTATCAGCGAGCAAGCATCTTTTGGTACTTATATTTAGAAAGGAATTGTTAAATGGACCCCAATATGGCTGCTTTTATTCCTGATTTTATGTTCTGTATGTTCTTTGATGTTTAAGTTGCAAATCCACTCTCATCAGCAAAACAGGCAGTCTCAGAATCTGCCCATTTAGGTGGTAATGAACATTAACATTTGACCCATGGAAGACAGGAGAGTTGGTAAGGCTCATGCTGCAGGTCCATGCGAAGGAACTGCTGCTGGAGAGTTAAATCTAGATAGAAAACAACGGCAGTCCCACCATTTTGTCAGTTTTCTGGCATCCAAATTTCTCAATTTAATTTATATATAATTCCTTTTTTTGAGAAGAAATATAACAATATATAGTACCTGGGCTGATATTTGACTACGTACCTTGATACTAATGGTGTTAGAAGGGCTTGACGCTTAATAAATATGCTGTTTGAATTTGAATATGCCTCAGTTTCCCAAAGTTTGCAGCCAGCAGTTCAGACTCTAGACAGGATCCAGAAATTGAGGTAAAATGTAATGTTTCTATATTTTTTCTCCAGTTTTGTGTTTCTCCTATTTGATCTTGGAAGCACCTTCAGTTAAGTGTCTGATCTGTAAAACATGTCAAACCACTTCTGCAATATGTCTTGCACTGAACTGAGGAGCCTGTGGGAATTCTGTTCTGTTCACCGTCTGAATTTTTACAACTCAGAATAAAATGAACGTCTGTCTAGCATTACAACTTCCAAACTGCCTTACTCCAGCATTGCTGAGATGCAGTTCCCTTTTCTTTTTCAGCCAGATAAGAAAAAATAAGTACAAGTTGACATTTGATGGTTGCTCTAGATGACCTTAGTGGTCTTTTCCAACCTAAGTGATTGTGCACTTTTTCAAATGTTTACAACTTTATTAACTAAATTAGCTGTATTATGTTTAGGTAAGCTGCAGAATATCTCCTTCAACTCCTAAAATGTGGGGCAAGCCTTGATGTGGTGCACAGTCATTGTGGGTGTTCCATAGGGGTACATTTATGGCTATACTTAGAATCATAGAATCATAGAATCACCAAGGTTGGAAAAGACCTTCAAGATCATCCAGTCCAATATACTCATACTAAATACTCTTCAAAATCTAATTACTGCAAATCTGAGAAGGGCTGAAATTAAATCTTTGATGTAAATATGCATTGATTCAAAGCTTGAGCATAATTTAAAGACCCAGAACTCTGCTCAGTAAAAGTAGGAATAATAAAATACAATGAGAGTTATAGTAATAATGTTATCTGGTCAGTTTCTACACGTTCAAATTATTTAGGTAATCTTATCATATCTTTGATATGCCTCCAAGAATTGTCTCTGCCCAGGGCTGGCATGTCTGTCACATCACCAGAAACCTTCATCTTACACTTCAGAGCACTTTCCCCCTTGTCTCTGACTGCAGCAGCCCAGTCTTCCTGCCCTCTGCAGCCAGCACAGCACAGAGCCCGCCTACCATGCCAGCACATTGGCACCGCTGCAGCGTTAATAAGGTGCCACCTTCTGATTGATAAAAGTTGTGCATCTCACACTGTGAGATGGCACAGTCCCCAGAACAGGCTCAGCATTGGCTAAATGCAGTTTGCCTGTCAGGAAAAATCCACAGGACCTTCAGTGACCAGTAGATCTGGGTTGGAATCATGAGGAAAGCTATTTTCTTTAGATGCACAGTATTCAGAAATAACAAAATAGTATAATTTTGTGTTGCGTGAGAGGATTTCTGATTACCTGTATCATCCTTAGATTTCAGGAATATTTCTGAAGTTTTATATGCATTGATAGCTGTGTGGTTTTTATCCTAAGATTGTGATCAAGGAATGTTTTCATTTCATATTCCCTCTCTGACTTGATTTCCATTCTGAACGTGTCTGAACGATGAATCTGTAGGACTGTCCTCTATATAAGATGTTAAGATTTTGTATTCTGTGTAGTGAGGAGGGGAGGGAAAGAGGGGCTCTGGACTGGAGGCTCTCTCTTTTTCTTGAGTAGATGGTGCTACATTCTGCTGTACCTATAGGTAAGAATGTCTCATACAAATCCAGCCCCTGTTAAACTTCTCACAGGCAAATTAATATGATCAAGGAAAATTTGCATCAAACTTTCAAGGCAAGGGTAAACCTGTAAAAACAAAACATTCCTAAAAAGAAATTATATTGTGTTGTGGCATATTAATATGTGCAAGAAGTTGGCAGATATTCAGATATTTGTGCTTGTTTTAAAATGCCAGCAACACAAGCCAAATATTATTACAAGTATGCACATTCTGAAGAAAAAAATGGCAATCAGATGCAAACAAGCAGCTCACAAACTTCTAAATGCGTCTGTGTTTACAGTTTGTATTTGAGTGTGACAGTTTTAATGTCTCATTGCTTTCACAGGCTGTCTTTAGAAAAAACAGTGGGAAGTTGACATTGTCTGTCCTTTTCCTAGGAAGGAAGACCTTTGCAATTATGCACACCTCTTGAGGACTGTTCCTATTTGGGGCTGTGGCAAAGGTCAGGTTGTGTGGCTGTGGGGCCTTTCCGGTAACCTCGATTTGGTGCTGTGGGAGGAAAGCTGTTGGGTACAGCAGTGCCTCGCCACTGTGAAGGGCAGCTGTAAGCCCTTTTTCAGTCTCTTTCAGAAATAAAACGGTTGACATCCCTTGCCATCCCCAGAGGTCCTCCTTCTCTTGGTTCTGCAGAGCTTCTGTGGCTTGCTGCTCTTGCCCATGGAAAGATGTGTGTGTGTGTTCCTTTCACTGGGGCTGGTCAGACATGATTCAACCTCTGCCTTCATTTCCTGTTCCCCAATGTCTATAGAATCACATCTGCAACAGTTCAGACATTCTTTCTCAAGGTTATGGTAAATGTGTACATCTCACTAACTGTTATTTGAGTTGATGGGCTTTTCTATAAAGTGCAGTACCATGGGCTAAAATTTGTCCAAAGTGACATTTCTGTGTTTTTTTTTCAGTTTAACCAAAGAGGACAGCTCTTTGGGAAGCCCAAAAGAATCAGAAAATGGGTAAGCTCTATTCTGTGACTATATGCAGTGGCTGGTATATGAAAAACTAAACCTAACCAAGGCATAAAAAAACAAAACAGCAGCAGCATTGCCCTGATGTCCTCCTGTAAGCACAAGCACTCTGCACAATGGAAGGCACTGTGGGCTTTGGGCCTGTATTCATTCCAAAGACACTGTCAGTGAAATTCTTACTCTTTCATTAAACCAATTAGTTCCAAAGTTCTTCCAGTTAAAATGACTGGAAGTGAAGACATTGCTTCTAAAGCATTACACCATTCAGCATCCTTTAACAGTACTTTTAGTAAGAATCCTCCTGTCACTCTGTTCTTGCAGGCAAATTAATTCTTAGTTACATGTATAGAAGTGCATTAGAGTATGAATAAATCTATGTAGTATAAATTCCATTCAGTGTATTCTTCTGGGAAAATTAGCATGCCTCTGAAATGGAAAGAAGCCATGGGAAATGCTGTAAACCAAACCAGAGCATTTGACGGTTAAGGATTTCAGAAAAAAATTGAAGAATTTAGCCAATAAAAAGAGAAATCATTTTCTTCTTAGAAAATCTTTCATTGATAATGAATCTATTTAATGCTTCTTTAGTGTGCCTGGTTTTGGACTCTCTATTACAAGAGAAATACAGACACACTGGATAAAAGTATAGTGAAGGCCGCTATATGACGAAGGGACTGGACAGAGCATCAAGCCTATGAAGAAAGGCCTTGGATTGTGAACTGTTTATAGAGTCATAGAATGGTTTGGATTGGAAGAAACCTTAAAGATCATCTAGTCTCCAACCCCTTTTATGGGCAAGGACATCAACCACTAGGTCAGGGTGTTTAAAGCCCCATCCAACCTGACCTTGAGCAGTTTCATGGTTGGGACAGTCACAGCTTCTCTGGGCAATCTTTCCAGTGCTTCATTACCCTCACAGTGAACAATTTCTACCTTTCTATGATTTCACAGAATCACACAGAATCACAGAATCACCCGGGTTGGAAGGGACCTCAAGGATCATGTAGTTCCAAACCCCTGCCTAGCAGGGCCACCAAACATACACATTTAGACCAGGTTGCCCAGGACCCCGTCCAACCTGGCCTTGAACACGTCCAAGGACAGGGCATCCACAACCTCCCTGGGCAATGGATTTCTACCATTTCTAAAACTAAATTCACTCCCTTTCACTTTAAAACCATTACCCTCTGTCCTCTCACTCACTTAGAAAAAATCTCTTAGAAGCCCCTTTTAAGTATTGAATAGCTGCTATAAGGTCTCCCAGAAGCCTTCTTTTCTCTAGGATGAATAGCCTCATATCTCAACCTTTCTTCATAGGAGATATGCTTCAACCCTCTGATCATCCTCATCACTACTGTGGCCCCTTTCTAGCAACTCTATGTTTTTCTTCTGATAGGGGCCTCAGAGATGAATACAGGACTGTAGATGAGGTCTCACAATAGCAGAAGACCTGGGGATAATCACCTCCCCTGACCTTCTGGCACACTTCTTTATATACAGCTTATATGTAGGGTTCTTAGACACATTCAAAAGCCACCTGGTCCTGGGACACCTGTTCTATGTAGCTCTGCTTGATCAGAGGTTTGGATCTCCAGAGATCCCTTTCCACCTCAACCATTCCGTGATTTTTTGATCCATGACAGTTTCTAGCAATTCAAATGTATACTATATTTTTTTTCCATTTTTTTTTTTTCCACCATTCAAACTTTGTAGCCCGCCTGGCCAACGGGGTGGATAAAATAAGAGCTGTGAAGGGAACATTAATCAGACAGGTTATTTCATTCAATTATATAAAGAAATGTCCTTACTAATTGCCAGAACCAGTTCAGTTTTTGGAACAAAACAAAACAAATCAAAACAAAACAACTTTCCCATCACTTTACATAAGCTCTGCTTTTGTAAAAGAGATGCCCAAATGATTGCTGTCTGCTTTTAATGTGCAAATTGCTGGAGCTAATTTATAACCATATGAAGACACCAGTCTTTGAAAAGGAGCTAAATCAATTGGAAGAAGCAGGTGGGCTTTGCTCATGAGAACAAGGAATGTTCTGATGTTCTCACATATTTCAGAATTGGAAAACTTTTCCTTTCTACTCTAAAAAAGGGAAAAGTCATGACCTCCAGAAATAATATTCTATTACTTACATTAACTCTGAAAACTGCAGTTTTAGATGTGGAATAGAATGAGGAGAACACATTAAAAAGAATGCTAAGCATTCATTAATAAATAGTGACATTTTTAGTCTGCCCTTGGATATCAATTATTTTTGAACTCTCCCATGTATCCCAATTATTTTCATCCTCCTCTTTTCCACATGCCTTTTAAACATTCAACCCTATCCCTTGGAAGCCCTGAACATGCTTGCAAGTTTCTGCTATTATCATTTTTCTGAGAAACCCTAGTACTGTTTTGTTCTTTATTACAATCAAATCAACATCAGTAGTTTCTGTTCCTGCATTTTATGGCTTTTTAAAATACACCAAAGTCATGATGAATCTTCAAGTTCTCATGTAAAGTAATAACTGACTACAGCTAATATTTGTGACTTATTTGAGATTATGCTCATTAGGAAAGCAAAAGATATGGAAATCACTCAGTGTGCAGGATAAAAGAAATACTGTGTCTCATAGGGATCAATTTATTGACAGAGCACCTCCTTTCTTTCAGTCTAGCGACAGACTGAACCATAAACTAACAACAGCCTAAACCATACATATATTTTAGCACTGTCTGTGCTGCTCTGGACATCAGGAGAGCTGCTCACCTTCTGCTCCAAAGAACTTGATATGATCCCCTTCTCACTGCACCTGAAAACGTAAGCATTTGTTATGCTTCTGGGAAATTTGGATTCGCATCTGTGTGATAGAGTCTGGCAAAGTTAAAGTAAAATCAGGAATATCAATTAAGTACTTTTTTTAGCGTATGTTGCTTAGAAATTTGTTTTAAAAAGTGACCTTTCTTGACTACTTGTGGTAGACTGAACTTAATATGTCACCTGGTACTTCTGGTCTGACCAGATGGAAAAGCATCCTTTGGAAAAGAATTGGAAGAGCATTTGGAAGAGTATTTGAACCATTCCTGTAAATTTTCAGTTATTCAAAAACTAACTTGAATGACATACATATATATATGTGAGCTTTCCCCAAAATTTTCACAAGCAGAGAATAGTCAAGACAATAATGTGAGAAACACTTGAATGAATTTGTTTATACTGACAATTTCACTTAAAATATTGAAATTTTATACAAAAATGTAAGTTTTAATGAAATACTAGTCTTTTCAACAGTTTCCTATGAATAAACTCCCCAAATACTATGTACATAATTTTAATTGGAAATGGACAATTTCTATTTAATATTTTATTAATAAGAACAAAACTTTTGTTTTTCATATTGGAAAAGTTAGAAAGTGAATAACTAATCTTTGCTCTAAGTCACTCAGCACTCTGACAGGCCTTTGTGCAGCAGATCATAACCATCTCTCGAAAGTGATAATTAAATTATCCTTTAACAAAAGGTATCATATTTTTCCATATTTCAACATAAAACAGCATTCATTTGTAAAAGTACTATCTTAATAGCTTTGACAGTAAATATACATATATGAAAAATAGAGATGGTGTTGAAGCTTCATGGCAGGGCAGACCCAGGCTCTGCTTCGGACTTGGGAATGCTAGAAGTTGCCATTTCATTTGTATCCCTGTAGGACCAGTCTGGAAGCCTTGGACCATCTCTGAAATGGTTAGATTCTGCAAGCAGGGAGCAAAGGGAAGACTCTTATTCAAGCAACATTACAAATTTTTTATCACTTCCTTGCTACAGACTGAAGTAGAAATCAGGCCAGATAAGCTTTATTTTAATGTTAGGTTGGTCTTTTTATCCATATAGTCATCACGTCCAAAGAAAGGCAACAAAGCCGGTAAGAGGTCTGGAGCACAACTCAACCTGAAGGAACTGGGACTGTTCAGTCTGAAGAAAAGGAGGCTCAGGGGAGAATTCATCATTCTCTACAACTTCCTGAAAGGAGGTTGTGGAGAGGTGGGAGTCAGCCAGTTTTCGTGGGTAACAATGACAGGACAAGAGGGAATGTCCTCAAGTTGAGCCAGGGGAGGTTCACGTTGGATGTTAGGAAGAATTTCTTCTCAAAAAGAGTTGTCAGGTGCTGAAATAGGCTGCCCAAGCAGATGGTTGAGTCACTGTCCCTGGAGGTGTTCAAGAACCATGTAGATGTGGCACTGAGGGATGTGGCTTAGTGGGAATGGTGGTGATGGGCTTGCTGTTGGACTAGATGATCTTAGTAGTCTTTTGGAACTTTAACGATTCTTTGTCTTAACTACTTATTGCTACATATAGATATCAGATGTTCTAATGAGTTAGCATACTATTCAGCTCTGTTTATAAATAATTTAATGCTTACAATACTCTCAAACACTCTCAAAAATGACTACTAAGCAAGTCAGCATCTTACTTCTCACTGATTTACAAGACAGCTCCTGCCATCCTAGCTGCAGAGGGCTGCAAGTGACACAACTTAGTTAAAACCAAGGCACTTATTGCAGGGTAAATCAGGTTAAGAGCTCCAATTTCTATCAAACTGTTAACTTTAGAGTTGGCACCCTTATGAGCTCACATGAAGTCACCAGCCTAGATTTCAGTTTGCTTAAAAATGCTTTAAACAGCTGAGATAAAAACTTACATTAATTATCTGGCTGCTTCTGCTTGTTTTCCCTGTGCTGCCTGCATAGAGCAGCTACTGGCTCTCCCATTCTCTCCTCCTCCTTACTCAGCAGCAGCTCCAGGTGGCAGCACCCACACCAACATTTGCAGAGCAGGTGGAAGGATTTGGCATGAAAATTTTCTGATTCAAATTATTTTGTCTCTTCTGTTCCCAGATGAAATCTGTGGTGAAAACACAGCTGAAATTTTAAATTCTAATTCTTTTTAGAATTTGCTTCTAGAATATTATTCTGAGAATCATCTGTGGCAGC